ATCATTTCCAGCTTTTAAAAAATTATCATCATCATGTCTATCTCATTTAAATTCTTACCTACTTCTTCAAATATAAAAGTTCTTTTGAGATGGAATTCACATGCTGTACAATTCTATGTTTTTTTTTTAGTAAATTCAGTTGTACAGCCATCACTACAGTCAATTCTAAAACATTTCCAGCATCCCCCACTCCAAAAAAAAAAAACAAAAAAAGAAAAAGAAAAGAAAAAAACCCACACTCACTGGCAGCCACTCCCCATTCCTACCCCACCCAGCCCAGCCCCTGGCAACCACTTCTCTGCTTTCTTTGGATTTATCTATTCTGGACATTTCATATAAATGGAATCATACAGTCTGTGGCTTTTTGTGCCTGGCTTCTTTCACTTACCATCACTTTTTTGCAGTTCATGCTGCTTGTAGCAGGTGTCAGAACTTCATTCTTTTTCATGGCTGAATAATATTCCACTATGTACATAGACCTCCTTTGTCCATTTATTCACCAGTTGGTGGATGTTGGGGTTATTTCCACTTGTTGGTGATTGTGAATAACCTCATCAGCTTTTTAAAAAAATTTAGTATTTTTTAATTTTATTTTTTATTGACGTGTAGTTGATTTGCAATGTTAGTTTCAGATGTACAGCAAAATGATTCAGTTATGCATATACATACATATATTTTCAGATTCTTTTCCATTATAGCTTATTACAAGAAATTGATTATGTTCCTTGTGCTGTACAGTAGGTCTTTGTTGTTTATCTATTTTATATATAGTAGTGTGTGTCTGTTAGTCCCAAACTCCTAATTTATCCCTCCCCTCCCCTTCCCCTTTGGTAACTATAGTTTGTTTTCTATGTCCATGAGTCTATTTCTGATTTGTAAATAAATTTGTATCTTTCTTTAGATGCCACATATAAGTGACATCATGTGCTATTTGTCTTTCTCTGTCTGATTTAGTTAATATGATTATCTCTAGGTCCATCCATGTTGCTGCAAATAGCATTATTTCATTCTTTTTTATGGCTGAATAATATTCCACTGTATATATAGACCACATCTTTATCCAGTCATCTGTTGCTCATTAACTTTTGATTGTATTTGAACTTCATTTGCAGGCTCTGGGTCCCTGTGGTTCTCTGGGCCTCCCTGTGGCACTCTGACCACTTCCCCACACAGAACAAAGCTCAGTTTTCTCCCAGACACACAGCTCCTCTTAGTCCCACAGCCATTCAGCCAGAAAATACAGGTTTAAAAAACCCATGGAAAACACACATTGAGCAGTGGCGGTGCCAGGGGATGGCCTTGCTGTCTTGTCTGCTCCTCTTCCTCGGCTTCCTCCTCCATCTCTTCCTCTCCCTCTGGACTCAGTGCTCCTTCTGCTGGTTGAGCTGCCCCCTCTTCTGCAGTGGCCCCCTCCGCTGTCCTTGGGGATGGAAGGCCCAAACCTACCCCGTGGTGGCCTGGGGCCTGTTTCTCCTGGTCCTGTGCTGACTTTGGCCTGAGCCTCTGAGGCCTCCTCCATCTCTGTTTGGACAAAGGGTGGCCCTCTTCTCCTGCTGGCCATCCTCGAGGTGGCTGGGGTGAATGACATCATGCCCTGAGCGCTGAGGGGGAAACAAGCCATGGGGTGTGGGGACCTGGGATCCTGATCTTCCGACTCCCAGGGCTGGGCCTTAACATGCACCCCCTCGCACAGACACACGTGGACATGCACGCAAACACAGTCACAAACATATGGACATGCACCCAGACACACCAGGGATCCAAACAGGACAACACGTAGACACACACATACCATGCTTCTGGGCCAGGGCCAGTCTGGTCCCTACTCTCTCTGGAGATTCTAGAGAATATTCTGGACTCAGGGAGCCTTGCTCTCCTGAGTCAGAAAGTCCTAATGGAAAGAAAACACAGGAGGAGCTTCAGTCCCCATGAAACTCTCAGCCACCCGCCTGTGTCCACGCCCCTCCCAGTGTGTTCATGCAGGTGCTTCTATACAGTTAAACTTAGGGCATCTTCTATTCCGCCCTCGTCATTGATTTTTTTCCTCCATTTACCCATTTTCCAGGTTCATCCTGGCCCATGTCATAGATTTTCATTTAAAGGGCGAAAGAACATTCCAGGGCGTTTAGCTCTCACGGTTGCTAAGCTCTTCCTCTGTTTGGGGCAGATGCTCCGTTGCTAGTTTTTGGCGGTAATAAATCGGGCTGTTGGAACATCTTTGCTCAAATGCTTCTCTTTATCTTCTGGGTCGTTTCCTTGGGGATGTAGCCGCGAAAGGGAACGGCTGCATCCGAGGGTGGGAATGGGCCCTGGGTGCTTCTCACCCTGTGGGACTGTCTGTGGAAGGACCATCCAAGTTGTGAATTCAGAATTGGAGTCAGCAGGATTTACTGTGAATCTCATGAGCTCAGGACTGTGCCAGAGCAGCCTGGGAGAGAGAAGATCCCAGCTCTGGTGTGAATGACATCAGGTGGCAGGAGACCTGGGGTTCCCATCCCAGCCCCCCCACCCCTGACTCCCTGCGTGAACTTGAGCAAGGCCCTTCCCCTCTCTGGGCCTCAGTCTTCCCATCTGAGAAATGAAAGGGTTGGACAGGCAATGATGGCCAGAGAGTGCCTAGTGGCTCAGGCCCCATGATTCAGCCCAGGGATGCTGGGGCGAGGCGGCGTTTCTAGGCAACAGTGTTTGTTTGTGATTCTGATGTGTAGCTGGGACAGCTGCGAGTGCTCCTGGCTCCAGCTCTGGCTCCCGGGGGCAGCCAGCCAGGGTCCCACACGGGGCCAAACCATCCAGGGGAGGGGAGGGGACAGTGAGAGGATGGAGCGTCCCGAGGGTGGTGCGGGGCAGTCAGCACACCCACTCCATCTCCTGGCCCAGCGAAGGGGTGGGGGCTGCAGCTGGGTCCTGGTGATCCCGGAGAAAGCTGCCCCGTCCCCGGGAGCCAGCAGTGTGGCAGGGGCCGCCCAGGGCCCCCCATGGGGCCTTTGCCTCGGTGGGTCCTCACGGCTCATGCTGATGCCTGGCTTGGTGGCTCTGAGGTCAGTCTTGCCAGCCCATGGCCAATAGCTCTCTTTCTGGGGAACATTCAAGTGAAATAAATTTCTGAGCTGAACATTGAGGTCACCAAAGTGGTGGGGAGCTTGGTTGCAGAGTCCCAGTTCTGCCCTGACCACGGGGTGGCCATGGACGTCAGGATTTCATCTCTCTGGGTTTCAGTTTTCTCATCTGCAGAAGTGGGTGGTGACAGTAGGACCTGCCTGCCTTGCGGGTTTGGCTGTTGGGAGTTTCAGGTGAGAATGTGTGAAAGGGCTTAGCTGTGCTCTGGGACACAGGAAGCGCTCAAGCATTGACAGCCGTCGCTGTTAGCATCCCTGGATTTACGTTACACGAGCTCCCAGGTGGTGTGTTCTCCCTCCCTCTCATGCACTGTGCTTGGCCCTTTGGTTAGCACTAGGCCCCTTTCCCTAAACTGCTCCAGCTTGAGGTTCCTGTTTGGGGCTTCCTTACAAGGGGCTATGATGTGGGTGAGCCCCAGCAAGGAGGTGAGGGTCAGAGAGGCCGCTGGTGGATGGAGACGCCCTCCAGGTTGATTGGTGCTGGTGGCGGGGAGGGGAGGAACCCTGCCTCAGGCTCAGACCCCACCCCAACCCAGCATCCATTGACGTGCGGTGGGCATCTGTCCTGACCACGTGCTGTGGGTGAGAATCAGTTTCTGGAGGGCTCGGCACTGCACGGCGCGCTGTTCATTCGACAGCCACTGACCCTCCTCCCGGAAGGCTCTGCCTGCCTGATGCGGTTGGATGTGCCCTTTAGAAACAGGGGCAGCAGGATGAGCACGGGACACAGAAGGAGGGACTGGGTGCAGATACACCCAGTCTCTGAGCAGCCTGAGGACAGGGAGCATTTCCTCCACCCCAGCGGCAGCTGGGCCACCTTGAACCCTGTGGCTCTTTGTCAAATGAGTGAATGAATGAATGAGTGAATGAATGAATGAATGAGCATTTGGCTGAATTGGGCTCCAGGGAAGTGTCACCTGCCTGGATCCATCAGGGAAGGCTTTATGGGGGCAGTGCCTGTGCTGAGGGCTGGGGACATGGCAGGAAGCCGGGCACACCTGGCCCCGCCCCTCACGGTGCCATCAGACGGTGACAGGTGATTGCAGGTGTGATAAATGCCCCACTGCTCCAGGAGCATGAAACTGAGAGCAGGGATCCACGTGGGGCAGCACGGGTGGCTTCCCTGAGCCACAGAGGAGCTGGAGAGGTGACCCCAAGCGGGGTTGTAGCGAAGGTGCAGCCTGGGGATTTGCACTTTCTATCAGATGCCCTTTGGCCTCAGTGGGCAGGTACATCCCCCTTGGAGCTTGCGGGACCCAGGGGACCCGGCAGGGTAAGTGGTCCACTCCCGAGTCTCCCCTAGCGTCCCCCACCATCTGCGTGGCTGCGTGAACCTTACAGCCAACAGCGAAGGCTTGAGCCCAGTGGATGTCATAAACAGGAAATTCCCCTCGAACTTCTCTGTGTTTTCATCTGGGCGCCACACAGAGCCATCTGGCTGCTCTCACGGCAATGGAGAGGCTGCCGCTAATGACACCACACACACACAGCAGTAGTGCCCTCCCCACTTCCTCCCACCTCTCCCTTGCCTGCACCTCCCCTTCCCTGGCTGCAGTCCCCAAACCTCGAGGAGTCTTGGGATGTGGAAAGAGAGCAGGGCATAGGTGATGGAAGGGCTGTCCTGGAACCCCCAGGACTCCAGGTCCTGTCCCGCTGGCCCCAGGGCCCGTGGCTGCTGCTTTATTTTTTCCCAACATCTCATCAGAGTGGCGTTTGCTCTGTGCCAGTTCTGGGCTAGGTTCTGGGGATGCAAAGGCGAATAAGACAGAAGGGGATGTGTCTTCTTGGGGCCTGGTGGACAAGTGGTCACAAGCCAGTGTGGCCAGGGCTCTGTGGGCCTCAGCTTGTCTATCTGTAAGATGGGTCTCGCTTTCCATTTCGTCCTTTGGGTGTAGTGAGCAGCATTTCCTTTCTAGGAAATGACCTGGGGCTCATCCTGAGAAAGACAAGATGCCTACTTTTATTGTTGAAAATTGTTTCCACTTTTGGAAGTTTCTTTCATTATTTTTTTTTCCCCAGAAGCTCCCATTTCCTACCCTTTTAATTGATGGGTGAGGGAGGGAGCAAGGGGTTCTGTGGTCTCTAAAGTTCTTAGAAAAACCAGACAGCAACTCTGAGATCAAGGAGTTCAGAGCTGTCTTTTCAAATATAAAGAAACGGGTTCAGAGACACCGACTGTCCTGCCTGGGGTGGCACAGCATATAGCCAAACTGGATCTTAGATCCAGAACTCCGGTGCCTAGCCTAGACCTCTTTCAGCTGACCCACGTGTCCCTGCTGGGCTAGTCCAGGTTTGTAGGAAAGTCACCGAAGGAACTGTGTCCCTTCCTCTGAGTGTGATTGAATGTGTATGTTTCAGCCTCAAACTGATTTGGCTCGTATTTGGTGGATGTCAACATTAATTAACTTAAACAACAGCAACAACAACAACAACTGTGGATGAGTAAAGCCAAGCCGGGGGAGTGGAGCCACGCAGGGGGAATGTTTACTGGTCACTGGGACAAATAAACATCTGTGTGGTGTTCTCCCCCTTTTTCTTCCACTTTGACAGATGAGGGGATCTACTTAGGGCTGCCCTGCCGGTTGGGGCCTTGGGAGCGAACACACAGACACGTTGATTGGGGCAGGGATTTTATTAACAGCAGGGCTGTGTATTGAGCACTTACTATGTCCTAGGCACCGTGGGCTTTGTGTGCTTCATGTCACGTCATATGTACCATCTCCTGTGACCCCAGATGAGGACACTGAGGTTTAGGGAGATGGAGTCCTTGGCCTAAGATCAGCCTGCAAGAGGCCAAATGGTGGCATGCAGAGGCCACTTGCTGTCAAAGCCCTGCTTCCATCTGCTCCGCTGGGCTGCTTCTCGGGACGGGGCACTTCCTTGTGACCTGGGGTAGTGCTTAGAGCCACCTGGGGCCTTGGAAGAACCCCAGTTCCAGCCTCCCTCCAAATCAGTCTCTGGTGGGGCCTGGGAGTTTGCATGTTTCATGTTCAGCTGGAAGGTTCTGATAAAGCCCTGCCCTATAGGGGGGATGATGGCGTCTCTACCCATGAGAGCTGACAGTGCGTGAGCCTGTGGCCAGGAGTCCTGCTCCTGTGCATGGGGGGCACATACATCAGTGTGCAGGGAACTCTGGTGAAAGAAGCGAGGGAGGGAGGAAAGAAAGAACTCTAAATGTTTAAATGTTCACCAAAAAGGGAACAAATTAGTAAATTGTGGTATGCTCACACAAAAGACTACTATACAGCAGTGAAAAATGAATGAGTTAGAACCACATACATACACACGATGCCATTTATATAAGAGTTTTAATGCAAAACTGCATTGTGTATTGTTATGGATGCAGTGTCGTCACCATGGTAACAGCTGACCTTTGTTGAGTACCTCTCTGTTCCAGGCACCGTGCTGTGGATTAGGTCTTTCAGTTCTCTGGACAACCCTATGAGGGATAAGTACCACTGTTGTCTCTTTTTTCCAAAAGGAGAAAACTGAGGCACAGAGAGGTTAAGTGACTTGCCCAACCACACACAGCAAGCACATAGCAGAACAGGGTCAGACTCACTTGGTTCAGCCTAGTGCCTGGGCTCTAGAGACCACTACCCAGTGGATCATTTACAACTGTCCTCAGAGAACTTGCTCCAGGTGCCTGCTGGGTGCTCAGGGAAAGCTGGAGGAGGGGGTTGCTGAGCAGAGTAATTATGACCCCACTTTGCAGATGGGGAGACAGGACCAGCAGGGCAAAGCTAGTTGCCTGAGGTTGCACAGAGAGTAAATGGCCGGCAACATTGACCGACAACATTGATGAGCGCAGCCCAGCACTTTGCTTGCAGCTGCTCGGGAGATGGGGGCTCCTGTCATCCCTGTTTGCGGAGGAGGAACCTGAGACTCAGCAGAGAAGGGGGTGGGAGCAGGACTGAAGCCCAGCTATACCCTGATGAGCACAGGCTGGGGGGCCCTTGGGGTCCCCCGCCTCCGTGCTGGCTGCTCGTGCTTGGGGCCAGCCAGGGCCAGTGGCCGCAGCTGCCCTCCCAGTTCAAGGAGGGCAGGGGCGACACAAAGCCAGCACATATGGGCTGGTGACATCATGTCTGCAGGGGCCCCCTGGGGTCCAGCCCAGCTGCAGGAGCCTGGCTGGGGGTCCCAGATCCCTGTGGGATGGGTGCCAGGTGGCTTCAGCAAGGTGGGCTGGATTGGGGAGGGCAGTGATGGATTGCTTCCTCCTGAGGGCCCAACACAGCACTGGACAACAGGACACCAAAGAGCACTGGATTCGGAGTCTGCTCAGCCCTGGCATGTTAACGCAGAGGCCTCTGGGCTGCAGCTTCTCCGTGGAAGGGAGGGGTCTTCAAACAAGACCTCACGCCCCCTCTCAGAGCAGGGTGGAGGAGCCGCAGGCACGTGCATTAGAGGAGGGGGAGTTTCTGGTGACCAAGTGCCAGGCCCTGGGCTGAGCCCACGTGGAATCTGTTCATCAGCCCCAGTCACAGGCCCTGTGTGTGTGCCCATTTTACAGATGAGGAAATGGGGGCTCCAAGAGGTGAAGGGGCTTGCTTCACCTGGCTCGGAAGCATTCAAAGTCAGACCCAACCCAGTGGACTCCTAGTCCAGTGCTCTTTATCTGTTACACCAGTTGGAATGGACCCGGCCTTGGCCTGGTGGCTTGGGGAAGTGGAGGCAGGGCAGGGGGAGGAGTGAAGGCTGGGTGGTGGACACTGCCATACTCCAAGCAGGCTTTCTGGAGGAGGCGGCTGGTTCAAGTTGGGTTTTGAGGCCTTTCCAGCAGAGGTGGGGTCGACTGGGGTCTCACCAGTGCCCCTCATTCCCACAGGCGTCACCTCCTCCCATCGGGCTCCCTGCGTCTGGCCCAGGCCCAGGTCAGTGACAGTGGCCTCTATGAATGCACAGCCAGTAACCCTGCGGGATCCGCCATTCAGTACTACCTCCTCGGGGTGCAAGGTAGGACCTGAGCTGGTGGCAAGCTTCACGCACCCCCGCCTCGTTCTTTGGCCTCTCAGTGCCCCTCCCCATCTCCATGCCAGGCTGTCACCTCTTCCTGGTGCTCCAGTGTTTCCTCTGGCAACCCTATTTCCTGTCTTCCTCAAGCACTGTCTCTCCTCCTCCTCACCCCTCTTCTCTCCCTCTCCCATACCCCTTGGTTGGGCCTGAGATGCTGTTCAGAGGCCCCTGGAGAACAGAGGGCAGGGCCCAGTGTCCGTGGGGACTTGGAGGTTGGGAGGGGGGTTTCTGGTCTCACCTTAGTGCGGGCCTAGGAGTGGGTGTTCACCTAGGTGTCCAGGTCTCATTCACAGAAGCAGCCATTGGAGTCACTCTGCCAAAGAGGTGGGGGGCTAGTCTCCACCAGCCCCAAGGAATCGCCTAAGACAGGGGTCAGCCGACCACCGCCCTCAGCCACCTCTGGCCTACCCGCCGTTTTTATATGGCCCATGAGTGGAGAATGATGTCTTCATTTTTAAATGTTTGGGGAAGAAAAGACAAATAATATTTTGTGACATGTGAAAATTACATGAAATTCAAGTTTCAGCGTCCATAAATACAAGTTTTATTGGAGTGCCACCACACATGTTCGGTTACGTATCGTCTGTGGCTGCCGTGATGGCAGAGTTGAGTAGCTGAGACAGAGACCATCTGGCGTGCAAAGCCTGAAATATTTACTATCTGGCCCTTTACACAAAAAGCTGACCCCTGATCTAAGCTCACTCCCCATTTTACAGAGAAGGTTCAGAGATGGGGAGGTTCAAAGCTTTGCTGTGGGTTTGCATAAGTGTATGGGAGAAGCGGAAGCAGGGCGGCGGGGTGATGAGCAGGGCCTGAGTTGGCAGAGCTGGATTTGAATGCTGACTCTACCACCGACTGGCTGTGTGACCTTAGGCCAGCTGCTTGGCGTCTCTGAGCCTTGGTTTCCTCTTCTGTAAAGTGGGGGCAATAATGCCTATCCCATAGCTGTCAGAAGGGGTATCAATGGCATCAGGCACTCAGTACAGTGGAAACTGTTCTCATTTTCAGCAAGAGTTGGTGGCGGAGTGGTGGGGAGGGCATAAACACCCTTGTGGTCTTGGACAGTGAGGCTCGGGGCTTGGGGTGGGGGAGCCGACCTCTGTCCAGGGGCCAAGTTCCCATGGGGAGGAAAAGGGCCAGCTTCCTCCCAGGGCCTGGGACACTTGTCCTTGTCTCCAAGAATTCTTCCGGACTCCCTCAGTCTGGCCCCACAGGAAGCCACCTGGACTCCTGGTCACACAGACCCAGACTTGGGGCTGGTCCAGCTCCTATCAGCTGACGGAGTGGATGACTCTGGTCAAGTGACAACCTTTCTGAGCCTCAGTTTCTTTATCTGCAAAATGGGCATGGCACCACCCACCCCATAGGAAGGACCAAATGAGATGCACGATGGGAAAGTGACTAGAAAATACAAATGTGGAAGAAACAAAACCCACTTTCCTCCCACCCCAGGGAAGGGAAAGAGTGAGTCTAGCCGCAACATTTTTGGCACCACTGCGGGCCAGGCTCCGTGCTGGTGGCTCTAGTGCTACATCTCCCTTCATCCGGGGGCGGCTTTGTGAGGGGAGGAAACTGAGGCTCCAGCGAGGGGCAGGGCTGGGATTTGAACCTCCGCCTCTGTGCATGCTGCCCCCCATGCTGAGTCAGTCTGGCCACCTTCTGGGCCTCAGTGTCCCCATCCATCACTGAGCTGGGTAGTTCCTAGCTGGTGGTTCTCAAATGGTATATGCGGGCTGGGGCTGGGACTGGGGCTGAGCATGGAGGAGCGACTCTTTGATGAGAGCCTGTGTGTTCACGCAAAAGGCTGATATTACTTACTCGGGGGATTCACATGGGGGGCCCCACTGTCGTTTTCTGACGAAACGAGGAGACTTGGATCTCTCCCAGGACAACTTCTGCCTGTTGGTGACATCCAGGGGCGAGGGGAGCCCTGTGGCAGGCCGGGCCTTCTCCACGGGTCTGGGCTCTGGGACCCGCACCCGGGCCCTCTGCCTTGACAGCCCTCCCCACGGCCCTGTCAGTGCCCCCCCAGGTGCAGCCGGGCCCGCGGGTCCTGAAAGTGCTGGTGGGAGATGCTCTGGACCTGAACTGTGTGGCTGAGGGCACCCCGGAGCCCCGGCTGACCTGGGCCAAGGATGGGGTGGCCCTGAAGGGCGGGGGGCCCGAGGGCTCTGTCCACTTCACAGCCATCCAAACCGCTGACGCTGGGACGTACCGCTGTGAGGCCTCCAGCAGCGCCGGGGTGGACGCCTGGGAGCTGGAGCTCAGGGTGCTGGGTGAGTCCCCCTTGCCGCCCACCCCCCGAGCTCCCCACAATAGCAGCCTGGGCTTCTGAGCTGCTGGATGCCTTCCCTCCTCCCAGCCCCCAGCCCGAGGCTGGGGGCCGCCTGGTGTCGGGCAGCTTTCACCAGCCCCTGGGGGACTCCGTCCTTGGGGTGGGCTGCAGGCACTGGGGCCCAAGTCCAGCTTCTCCCACTTTCCAGCTGGACAACCGTAGACCAGTCATTTACACTCTCTGACCCTACAAATTGTGTCCAGTAATATGTAAGGGGTCAGTGAAAGCGTGTGTGTAAAGTGCCTGGTGCACAGGAAGATCTGGATCTGCGGTGCTAGCGTTGTCACCGTTACGAATTTGAACTGCATGAGGGGAGTGCAGGGAAGGATGACGCCCAAGCTCAGCCCCTCAGCCCGTGGGGGTTGTGCGTGGCCCTGGTGGCTGCTCCGTGGGCCACTATGCGGGAGGTGAGCCGGCGCAGCTGGCGTTCTGGAGGGGAATGCCCTGTCCACCGGCCCTGGTCTTCTGGGGGGAGCCTCAAGCTTGGGGCTCGGGAATGTGAGTGTGACCGCATCACCTCCCACCAGAGCCGCCGCACTGGGGGGCCGATAAGACCAGCGGGCTGCTGGAGAGAGTAGCAGGAGAGAACGCCAGCCTGCCGTGTCCTGCCAGAGGTGAGGCTGGGCCCCGGACAGGCTGGGTGGGGCAGGAGACCCACCCTCATTCAGGCACCCTGGGTCACACCCTGGGGGCAGTGCGCCCGGGTATGGAGGGTTACGGGTTCCTCACTCCTACCAGGGCCTCGCCAGGTACTTCCCATCAGTAATCCTGTAGGATGGGGATTACTATTAGCTGTTTTTTTGTTTGTTTGTTTTGTTTTTTTAAAATCAGGGGCAATCTAGGCCTGGAGCGGTTAAGCAGCTTGCCCAAGGTCACACAGGCAGAAGGTGACTCACAAAGAGTGACTTGCCTTGACCTCAGCCCTGAGTGCCCGTTAAGCCCTTGGCCCCTCTGTGCCTGGAGAGGGGGCAGAGGAAGGCCCACGTATCCTAGGATCAATGCCTGGTGGCCCCTGCCTGTCCCCAAACCCCAGACTTTCTCACAGAAGATGATTCACGTGGTCCTGGGCAAACCAGCCCTTTGGGGCTACAGCACAGTGTGGGGCCGAGATAGCCACCCCTAGGTCAACTGCCCAGCACTGAACCCTGCTTCAGTCCTCCCAGGCTGTGTACCTCGGGGTGGTTCCCACCTCCTTTCTGAGCCTCAGTTTTCTCAGCTGTACAGTGGGGTCACACCCATCCCTCCACACAGGGCTGCTGTGAAGGCCCAGTGGACAACAGGAGTTTAAGTTCCCAGCATCATACCTGGCACATAGTAGGGGCTCGGCAAAGTGTGTTAACTGGACGGATGATTCTGCCTTTCTGTACAACCTCCCGGCGGATCCCGCTGCCTGCCCGGGTGGGGCCCTCCTATGACTGGTGTGAGGATGTGCTGTCCCTCCCTCCCACCACCGCCACCGCATGGATGGCGCTTTCTAGAAGGGCAGGTGTCTGGGTGTCTGAGGGGCAAGTGGCCACTGACAGGAGTCAGGAGAGCTGGCACTTCCTCACGCCACGGGGCCCAGGGAAGTCCGTAGAACAGACAGAGGGAGAGGCAGGTGGGAGGCAGGCACTGAGGCGGGACCCCTGGGAGCCAGGTGGGCTCCCTTATGCAGAGCTGCCCACCTGGATTGGCCGTTGTCCCGCCTTTGACCAGTGCGCCACCTTGTGCCAGTCCCTGGTAACAGCAAGCAAGGCACTCGGGAGATGGGAGGTGAGAGATAGGAGGTGGGAGGTGGGAGGTGGGATTAAGTAGCCTAGAGATCCCAGAGCTCTGGTGGCCACAGGCCCTCCCTTCCCCTCACGGCCACCGTGTAGCATCCCTAGCACTTAGGGTGGAGCAGTCCGTATGGTGGGTGGGGCAGGGGCCCTCCTGAACTGAGACCACACCCAGGATGCCTTGGATGTGCTGCATCTTAATCTTGCCCCGCCCACAATGGGGTGGCCCACTCCTTCCTCCTACCGCCTTTTCCCCTCTGCGGCTGACAGAGAAAAGAGCAAGTGAGGCAAAGAGAGAGTGTGTTTACAAAGAGCACCTTGCTGCCAGGGGAGACGGCAGACAGAGGAGGGTGTCGTTAATGATCATTGGTGTCAGCAGTGATTGTGAGTCCCGCTGACTAGTGGTGGCAGTGGGCGTCGATGGGGTGATGGAGGAGCTGCAGGCTCCCCTCCTGCTCGGTGCCAGTGAAGGTAGGAAGGCAGGTGTGGGCTGAGCGGGCGGAGCCATGGGTGAGGGCGGCCCTTGTCCTGAGGTCACTCAGCAAGTCTGCAGAGCTGGGGCTCCCGGGACCTTGAGCCCTGCTGTGACCAGTGGGTGCTGTGCCTCACGGGCATGTGTGCCACTTGGAAGGCTGGGTCATTTCTTCAGCACCGATCTAAGGACCTACTGTGTACCCAGGCCCAGTGGGGCAGCTGTTCATTGTGTACCCACTGTGTGCTAGGCCAGATGAGCTGACGGTCTGGTAGCAGGGCCAGATGCTGGACAGTCTGACGTGAGGAGTGTCGGAGAATGGGCTCCAGGAGGACTGTGGTGCTCACGGTGGGGCCGGGCATCTGTCGTCAGTGGTGTCAGGCCTCATGTCTAAGCGTTGCTCCAATGGGACAGTATGGGTGCTGAGCACGGCAGGCTTGTTCATTCCTGTAGCACCTACTGTGTGCCAGGCGCTGGGCTTGTGGCTGGGCGTGCAGCAGGGAGCAGAGCAAAAACCCTGCCCTTGTTGGGGAACTAGACAATAGACCAAAAAAAAAAACCCATAAAGAAGTATATCTTACATACGTTAGAAAGTTGGAGGTGATGGGTAAAAAAAGAAAGCTGAGGGTGGGCGAGGGGATTGGGAGTGCTGGTGGGGGTACAATTCCAGATGAGATGGGGCCCCTGAGAAGGGAACCAGAAAAGTCTGTGGCCTCCGTGCCTGTTACCCACCCCGGGCGCTGGGAGGCCATGGATATGCAGTGCTGGGTGGGAAGGCGGCGGGGGTGTGGGCACCTGCCGCTCTGAGGGCCACTCCTCCAGCCTGGGGGGCAAGGAGGTGCCTGGGACCCCCTCCCCACCGCAGGGTCAGACATTTGCACAAGGAGTAGGGCAGTGTGGGTGTGGAGAGGGAAGCGGACAAGGTGTTCGTGCTGATGACTCTGTGCCCCACCAGGGACACCCAAGCCGCAGGTCACGTGGCGGAAGGGCCCGTCCTCAGAGCCCCTGCGTGGCCGGCCGGGTCTGGCGGTGCTGGATGAAGGCTCTCTGTTCCTGGCCTCCGTCTCTCCCACCGACAGCGGAGACTACGAGTGCCAGGCCACCAATGAGGCAGGCTCCGCATCCAGGAGGGCCAAGCTGGTGGTCCTCGGTGAGCAGGGACCCTAGAGCCGGGGACGTCCTGCACACACCTCCCGCTGGTACCTGGGGTGCCTCGGTGTGGCAGTCCCGGCTCCTCGGCCTGAAGGCTCGCTGCAGGGAGGGCTGCAGGTCCCTTCCCGCGGTGCCTGTCCGGGAGGGCCTGAGGGCGTGGGGAGAGTGGCAGGTTGCGTGGGCATCCCCTTCCCCAGAGAGACCCACGGAGACAGTGAAGGAGAACCTGGAACTCCTTAAATGGCCTTTTAAATGGCCTAGTGGTGAATTCATTTTAGAATGAGCTCTGATGGGGTGGGGAGGGGTAGAGCTCAGTGGTAGAGCGTGTGCTTAGCACACATGGGTTCAATCCCCAGTACCTCCATTAAAATAAAGAAAGAAATCTAATTACCTCCCCCACCAAATAAAAAGAATGAGCGCTGATGACAGTGGAGGGTCCCCAAACCCACCTCCCATTAAAGCTGCTGAAACCACCCGAGGCTCATATTCTGCCCATCCACGGTGCTGTGTTCTGGAGGAGGGGACCGCTTCCCCTTCATGTGGGCTCATGGAAGGGGTGAGAAGCAGTTTTAAGCATTAATGGTTCCTAATCAGGTGGCTTGCCATGGGAAGTTTGTTTCAAAGACTTACCTAGACCCCACATCAGAGATTCCGACTTGGGGAACCCTCCAGATGACCATGACAATAGTTTGGGTGCAGAACCAGCTGGATCTGGGGGCTTCTGCATCTTACAAAGTGGAATGTCAGAGACAGAGAGGGGCACAGTTCCCGGTCACAACCAGGTCCAGGTGCCCTGGCGAGGCTGCTGAGGCCATTCCTGGGGCCACAGGCTCCTGATGGGCTGATCGGGTGTTGAGGGGGCGGACATCCTGGAACTCAGAATCTGGGGAAGAGCAGCAGTTGGGCTGCCTCGTCCAGACGGGGTCCTGGTAGCTGCAGCTGTCCTGAGGAGGGGGCAGCTTCTCTGCTTCTCCTTGCTTCCAAGTGCCCCCCAGCATTCGGGAGGACGGGCGCCAGGCCAATGTGTCAGGCATGGCTGGGCAGTCCCTGAAGCTGGAGTGTGCTGCAAATGGCTTTCCGGCCCCTGAGATCGTGTGGCTCAAGGATGGGCAGCTGGTGGGTGTCCCCTGGGGTGGATGGGTTGTGGGTGGGACTTGGACTGGGTTCAGGCCTTCTGGATGGGTTCTTGCATGTGCCATGTGTGGTGGGGAGATGTGACAGGTGATAGGTGTCTTTGGGGATGCACTGGGGCTCAGGGCCGTGGGGGACTGTGGTCCCACGATGAAGCCCAGGGGGCTGCGTGGTGGAGAGGGCACAACACTATTCTGGGAATCAGAAACCCTGGGTTCCAGTCACCAACCAGCTCTCTGGGCCTCAGTTTCCTCATTGCTGGTGCTGGGGGGTGGCCAGACCCCGCTCACCCCCTCCCCGTGGCCTCTTCTGCCCAGATCCCCAAGGTGGGCAGCCACCGCCTCCTGGACGGGGCCCGGGCCCTCCACTTCCCCAGGATCCAGGAAGGCGATGCGGGCCTCTACTCCTGCCGGGCCGAGAACCAGGCTGGGACTGCCCAGAGGGACTTCGATCTCCTTGTGCTCAGTGAGTGAGGCCTGAGCCCCTACAGCTCCCGAGGGTGCCTGGCCGTGCAGCCGCTACCCTCTTAGGTGGGCTGGGGGGGAGGGGAGACTGCCTGCTGGGAGCCGGAGGCACAGAGGGCCCCATGGCAGACCTGGGCCTGTGGTCACAGAGCCATGGGGACAGACATGAGACAGTAACGTCATTAGCTGAGTAATTACTGTTGTGTTATGTGCTACAAAAGAGTAGCACGGGCCTCTGAGGATGCACAGAGCAGGCGCCTCTCCAACCAGGAGCTTGGGGAGCTTCCCAGGAGGGCCGTGTGGGAGGAGGAGAGGCTCACCAGGCAGGGGACTTTTACATGCAAAAGCCCTGCGGCAGGCTTTGAGCCTTTTCACTCCCCACCCCTTCTCTCCCCAAGTCCCACCTTCCGTGCTTGGAGCTGGGGGCGCCCAGGAGGTGCTGGGCCTGGCTGGTGCAGGGGTGGAGCTGGAGTGCCGGACCTCGGGGGTCCCCACGCCCCAGGTGGAATGGACCAAGGACGGGCAGTGAGTGGTTTCACCCGCCAACAGCGGTAGCGTGGGGGTGGAGCCAGGCTGGGGCCGGATGGAGAGGGGCTCGGGAGGTGGAACTCTGCAGGGTGGGGGCTTGTGCACGAGCCACCCAGGGCCCAGGCAGAGGGCATTGTGAGGCACTCCCGCCTGAGATCACCCAAGTGAGACCCTGCTTTTGCCAGGCAGTGTTTTCTCATCACTCAGCCAGTCTTCCTTTTATTTTAAAAACTTTTTAAAGATATGTTTTATTTTAAGGTATTTAAGGAATTAATATGATATTCACCATCCCAAAGGGCACAATTCAGTGTGTTTATCGCATCCACAGTGCTGCACAGCCATCACTTCTGTCTAGTTTCAGAGCATTTCATCACCCCGAAAGGAGACCCTGTACCCATTACCCTGTACTCCTCTGTTCTTCCCCTCCCCCAGCCCCTGGCAACCACTAATCTGCTTTCTGTCTCTATAGATTTCCCTATATTTCGCATACATTTCATGCAGTCATGCAACATGTGGCCTTCTGTGTCTGGCTTAGCACACAGTTTTCAGGGTTCATTCACATTGTAGCAGGTTTCAGTATTTCATCCCTTTTAATGACTGTATAATATTCCATCATAGGGATCGACCCCATTTTGTTTATCTGTTTTTTTAAATATTTTTTACTGATTTATAATCATTTTACTTTACAATGTTGTGTCAAATTCCAGTGTAGAGCACAATTTTTCAGTTATACATGAACATATATATATTCATTGTCACATTTTTTTCTCTGTGAGCTACCATAAGATCTTGTGTATGTTTCCCTGGGCTATACAGTATAATCTTGTTTATCTATTCTACAATTTTGAAATCCCATCTATCCCTTCCCACCCTCTGCCCCCTTGGCAACCACAAGTTTGTATTCTATGTCTATGAGTCTATTTCTGTTTTGTATTTATGCTTTGTTTTTTTGTTTTTGTTTTTGTTTTT